AGTGGTTTCTTTCTCAGCACTTTTTTCAGTGAAGCAGATGTTTGAGAATGGCCAACTCTGGTGTTCCTCAAAGACATTTCCATTGGTTCATGTTAAGCACAAAACTAGATCTTTTTACCTAATCAGCTTGAGTCAGGCTGGTAGAAGACACTTAACCATGAAATAATTATTTCTAACTTAAACTAAAATGCAATTGAGAAATCGTTATCTGGGAAAGAATATTTAAGGGCACTGTAGTTCTCATTATGAAGGTAGCCTTTTTTGTAGATTCATCTCTCAAAGAAAATTTTTTTTTGGAAAACATCAGACAGTTCTTGATCGTGTGCAGTTTATCTGCTGTGTTAGTCACTCAGTCGTGTCTGACTCTCTGTGACCCCATGGACTGCAACCGCCAGGCTCCTCTGTCCATGGAATTCTCCAGGCAAGAATACTGGAGTGGGTTGCCGTTTCCTTCTCCAAGTTTAACTGTACCTTTGACCTATTTCTTGAGTTATGAAAATATTTTTCAGAACTTATTTTCCTAAATGGATTTTTTTTTCACTTCAGCCTTTTATTTTGTATTGGGGTATAGACAATCAACAGTGTTATAGTTTCAGATGAACAGCGAAGTGGCTCAGCCATGTATAGACATGTATCCATTCTCCCCCAAATTCCTCTCCTATCCAGGTTGCTACTTAACATTGAGCAGAGTTCCACTGAGCAGAGTTCCAAATAGTAGGCCCTCATTGGTTTAAATGGATAAGTTCTTAATAGTGAAACACACTGCCCTGTTCTATATCACGTGTTAGAACATTTTGTAGATGTTTGCATATGTTTGTAGTCCTAAAAGAAATATTTCTTTTCAATTGCAGAACAGATTTATCTGTATGAGCAGTTTCTAACCCTGGTGAGTTAGAACATTAATGCTCTTGTTATATTATTATAGGTGTTCTGTGAAAAAAATTCCCTGTTGGTAGTATCTATCTCTCTTACCTGTGCACCCCCCATGCTGATTTATTTTTGAAAATATGTGTAAGAAAGCTTCCAATTACATCTGGTTGGTTCATTATTTAGTAGTCTATCTTTAAGACATGGTGTGGTATACTTGAGAGGTCATGGTAGACATCATTTGGTACTTAAATTCATGGTGTTGTATCTGTGAGATAGACAACATTTTCCAGTGAACTATTCCACTGTATGTTGTCTGTTTTACTTTTCACCTGCTGTGTCTTGTCCTATAATTTTAATATATATTTGTGACATTATTCAGTGTTGTATGTCACACTTTTGAACCAATTTTGATTATTTCTCAAAGAGTGAACCTGTTGCTCACTAATTGCTGTCCACTAATTCATCTGCATCTCTTGAATTTCTGTTGATGTTTCATCAACGTGTTATTTAAAAAGTGCTCTGTGGTCACTGAATTTAGATAATGTGAAATAATTTATAAAATGATCACTTCCCACACATGAAAAAATATCCTTTAGTGATGTTTTTTCATCAGTAGTTACACACATTTCTAACTGTGTGTGTTGCTCAGTCATGTCCAACTCTTTGTGACCCCATAGACTGTAGCCCGCCAGGCTTCTCTGTCCGTGCAATTTTCCAGGCAAAAAAGACAGGAGTGGGTTGTCATTTCTTCCTCCAGGGGATCTTCCTGATTCAGGGATCAAACCTGCAGCTTCTGCATTGGCAGGTGGATTCTTTACCACTGAGCCACCTTGAAAAAGCCCCATAGATGGATATTTAAGGATTTCTCTTCTAGTAAAGGCTGAATGTTAGGAAATACCTAAAAATCCAACCCCTCAGTGTAACAGCATTAAAAGTGGTGGTTGGATTCACTGCCTACAAAGTTTTCCTTATACATAAACTTTATGGTACAAATTACTTAAAACCACAGAAGATAAATATCAGGTTTCTAAACTGATGTTCTAGAGATCAAATATATGCATTTACAACTATTTTCTTCAAATTGTTTTGAGTACCACTTAGGAAGGTTAGAGTCGGGGAAGACAGTGGCCTTGCTTAGCTTCCATAATTATAGCTTTATAAGTAGACTTTTCATTTGTGAAGGCCAGAAAATAAAGCACTGTGTCTTTGTACAGAAATAGAGGCTATTTCATGGTAAGGTTTTAAATCTTTGAAGTTCTGAGACTATTCTTGATTGTATGGTAATTGTACTTGTATTTTGGGTCAAGAAAACATATTCAGAAAATTTGTAGTCTGCATGGTTAATAATAGTTCTGTGATAGAAACAGCACTTTACTGCAAATGCTGCTTTAAAACATGTTGGAAACACCCTCTGAGGTTGCTTTATCCATGTGGTAAATAGGTTCTATTAAAAATAATTTGAGTGAGCACTCAGTATAGGCCAGGCACCGTGCTAAGTGCCTTAGCTATATTTAAGAAAAATTAAGTGGCTTTGAAAGTTAACATTGTCATATAGTTTTATACTTGGAACATGAGCTGTTTGGGTTAAAAAAAATCTTCATGCAGATTCTTACAAGCAAATTGAGTGTGGTTGTGCAGTGGGTGGTTTTTAAGCTTAAATATCTCAGCTGGATTTAATTACCTTGAGGGATAAGGCTACATGATGGGCCAGTGGTTTACCAAATTATTTTTCATTTTCTGGATCTTGATGTCACTAAAGGTTAATGCATCCTCTTTTCTCTGCTAGAGACCCGAGTTAAAAATCCATTTTAGAGCATGAGTATAAATGAATTTGTTGTTGTTTTTCCTCCTTGGGGACACTTTGGTCATTTCGCGAGGCAGGCAGTCTTTCCATCTGGAATTGCCTGCAGCTTGCACCAGGCATAGGGTCTCTCATAGCAGGGGTGGTGGCAAGCCAGCGTGAGCAGGGGCTGGCAGGCTTCAGAGGGCAGAGCTGGCCCAGGGCTTGTCACTCTTTCATTCCTCGAGTCTGTCTTGGTTAACTTAAGGAAACTTATTTGGTAGTGACATTTCATTATAGCACATCACAAAACAAGTGATGTATTTATGGCTAGGCCATTGCCTTTTCCTCCCTATCTTAGGCTGCTTTGGATTCGGCAGCCACAGAGTTTTCTGTATTCACTCTCCATACTCCCCTAAATTACTGTGTATGTTAGGATAGATCTGTGATCAAGATTTTTGATCACTGATGTTTTATGACTTCTACTGTCTTTTGATTGCTTTTGTATAAATGCATGATTTTTAAGGTGCGTGTTTATATCCATAATTACAATTACCCTAAAGTAGTGCCCTTGGTTGGGTTCCCCAGGTGGCTCAGTGGTAAAAGAATCACTTGCCAATGCAGGAGATGCAGGAGACGTGGGTTTGATCCCTGGGTGGGGAAGATCCTTTCGAGAAGGAAATACCAACCTGCGCCAGTATTCTTGCCTGGGAGATCCCATTGACAGAGGAGCCTGACAGGCTGCAGTCCTTGGGATTGGAAAGAGTTGGACATGACTGCGTGACTGAGCATGCACGTGCATAGTGGTACTGGTTATGGCCTGTATCTGTATGAATGAGGACTGTTTAGATGTATAAGCAAAGCATGGGACAGTCATTGAACATTAATTCCTTGAGGGAGCTTGGTAGGGCTCTTGTCCCTGAGTTCGCTTGTAGTCATCTCTTCTCTATTTTTATTATTACTACTACTACTATCATTATTATTGTTAGTCTTGGTGTTTCTCTTTTCCTATATATATAAAAAGACAGAAATAAAATTTTATATATATGGATGCCTGCTGCTGTTTAAGTCACTTCAGTTGTGTCCGACTCTGTGCGACCCCTATAGACGGTGTCCCACCAGGCTCCCCTGTCCCTGGGATTCTCCAGGCAAGAACGCTGGAGTGGTTGCCATTTCCTTTTCCAATGCATGAAAGTGAAAAGTGAGAGTGAAGTCGCTCAGTCGTGTCTGACTTGTAGCGACCCCATGGACTGCAGCCTACCAGGCTCCTCCGTCCATGGGATTTTCCAGGCAAGAGTACTGGAGTGGGGTGCCATTGCCTTCTCTGATATATATGGATAAATGAGATTATATAATACATACTGTTGGTTTTTTTTTCCCCTCCTTTGCACTTAGCACTTTGTTTCCCAAATTCCCTGAGTCCCTCATCTTCTCCATTTGTTGTAGGTATTGCTACACCATTTTTATACATTCAGTGCTTTTCATCTTAAAATGTTCCAAATTGCACTTTACACCAAGAGAATCTGCCTCTTCATAGTTTATCTTCTATTCACCTTTCAAATCCCATTTCTTCTATCAAACTGAGTCAGTCCAAGGAGAGGTGAGAACTGCTGTTGTTTGCTTATAGCTTTCATGTAAAACTGCCTTTCCCTCTATGTGTATGTGAATATGAGAAAGAGCCAGAGAGACTTGACTATGTGTAAATATGTGTGTAGACTTAGGCTAACCAAGCTCTGACTCATAATGGCCCTGAGAATTACTAAAAAAAATTGATAGAGTGTGCTTTTACTGAGTCTTAATCTGAAAAGGTAAGTTTGACTAAAAGTTGGTCTAAATTATTAGTACATGAACTTCTGGTAAGGCTATAAAAATAATTATTGGGAAGTCATTTTATATGTGTCCATTGATAGGCAGTGTGTGTGGGAATAAATAGCACATACAACGTTGAGGTTCTTGAGGTGCCTTCATGTTTATCATGGTTGTTTTCTTCAGCAATATCTGTTAAACCCTTCAAGAGCAGAACCAGGTCTAGCCACTCAAAGTCTCCTGTGTACTGACGAGGTTCTCACAAACTCTTTTGACAGTATCTTTGAAAAGATGAAAGTGAAAGTCGCTCAGTCATGTCCGACTCTTTGCGACCCCATGGACTGTACAGTCCATGGAATTCTCTAGGCCAGAATATTGGAGTGGGTAGCCTTTCCCCTCTCTAGGTGTTCTTCCCAACCCAGGGATCGAACCCAGGCCTCCCGCATTGTAGGCGGATTCTTTACCAGTTGAGCCAATAGCCTTTCATATTAACAATATTGTGGGACTGTTTTGTTGCCTGAATCGTTTTCTTCACCCTCTCCAGGTGTCCGCAGTCGAGTCTTTGGAGGGCCCACTGCTCCAGGTGGAAGGACTGAGTGACCTTAGGCTGGAGTTGCACAGCAAGAAGATGAACCTGCACTTGGTTCTCATAGACGAGCTGCATCGGCACCTGTACATCAAATCCACCAGCCGCGTTGTGCAGCAGAACAAGGAGAAAGGGAGGATGAGGTTAGTCAGAGAGGCTCTTTGCCACAGCATCTTGTGGCCATGTAGAGCTTTTAGGGGTATTATTTGTTTTCCAGAATATGGTTGTAGTTTATTTTACTTCTCTTTTTAACGTACTGTCTCTGAAAATGTAAGACGGTTTTGTGATAACAAACGCTCCCCGTTCTGAAAGGCTGACACTCAGTGTTTGTTCATCCCCTCACTTCACATTTCTTGTGGTCCTTTTATGTCAAGATACATAGGAAACATTTACTGTGGGCTTTTAATGTACTCGATCAGAGAGACTCTGGTATATCTCAGAAGGGAGAGAGAAATCCTTAAAATGATAGTGCTGTCCTCCTAATTAAGAAATATAGGCATATGAACTGAAGTTAGAAGATTGTTACTTAGAGCTGTGTATAATCCTCTTTCTGGGGCAGTTCAGGCGAGCTTGAGAGAGAACACTTTTGTTTTATCCTTGGTCTGGGCGTAGCACAGTCTTGTGATGAAGGGCCTGGGTGGACTCAGAACATTTATTAAGTTAGGGGGGACCTGGTAGGGAATAGACCAGATGGTAAGATGGTAGGACAGTGGTGTTACTAATGTGTGTCAGATAGCTGTGCACGGTGTGTGTCTTTCCAACATTGTTTCAGTTCAGTTCAGTCGCTCAGTCGTGTCCGACTCTTTGCGACCCCATGAATCGCAGCACACCAGGCCTCCCTGTCCATCACCAACTACTGGAGTCTACCCAAACCCATGTCCATCGAGTTGATGATGCCATCCAGCCATCTCATCCTCTGTCGTCCCCTTCTCCTTCTGCCCCCAATCCTTCCCAGCATTAGGGTCTTTTCCAGTGAGTCAACTCTTTGCATGAGGTGGCCAAAGTATTGGAGTTTCAGCTTCAGCATCAGTCCTTCCAATGAACACCCAGGACTGATCTCCTTCAGGATGGACTGGTTTGATCTCCTAGCAGTCCAAGGGACTCTCAAGAGTCTTCTCCAATACCACAGTTCAAAAGCATCAATTTTTTGGCACTCAGCTTTCTTCACCGTCCAACTCTCACATCCATACATGACTACTGGAAAAACCATAGCCTTGACTAGACAGACCTTTGTTGGCAAGGTAATGTCTCTGCTTTTAAATATGCTATCCAGGTTTAAAATAACCTTAATCTAACTGAAGAATTAAGATTCTTCAGAGGGCAGTTGAGTTGAGCACTGTGTCATTAATTGACACTTTCTCATCGGCTATAGACGAGAGGAACACTGGAAGCAGTGAATGCTGGGAATGAAGTCTGTAAAATCCTATCCTGCTCAAACCCAAATCACCAACTCTGTGATGCTTCAGTTCAATCAGAGCCAGTGACAGAGAAAGAGGAGTTTCCATCTCTTTTCTGCAGTTGGGCACTGGAAAATCTTAGGCACACAAACTAAGCTATAGGCACGTACCTTAGACTTAACCTAAGCACTGGATCTGCATACAGCCTTGTTGGAGAGTCAAGTGGTGGGTGGGAGCAGTGATGAGGAAATTCCTTTCAGAGTGCCTGGTGGTAAGTAGTGGATCTAAATAGATATTTTCCTGTGCAAGGATTAAAAACAAGACCCCCTTCCCTTATAAGCATGAGGGAAAAAGTATTACATTGAAGTCTCAAAGAAGAGTATTTACTTGAAGGTAAGGATTTATAAAGCTAAATAGGAAATGTTTTAGGAGACTCAAGCTCAAGGTCTGTCAAAAGATGCAAGATGATGTAGATTACATAATTGCTCAGAATTATCAGCCTTCCCCCTTCACCTGACTGGGAGAAGTGTGTTTCCTTCTCTCTGATTCTTGGGCTCTTGCTTTTGCTGATTGTTAGCATGTAACATGAGGGGCCTGAAATGTGCTTGTGCCAGGGAGCATGCCCTGTCATGCCTCTGTCACTGCCATGATGTTGTTGGTCCCTGGAGGCCAAGTTCAGCTGAGCTGGCTAGCCTGAGTCAGCCAGTCACCAAAATGTGCTTATTATTGAACATGACTGAGATTCTGTGGCTGTATGCAGCAAACAGATAGCTTCTATGAAATGATAATGAGGAGTTATATGAATGGGATTGGGCGAGATGCAAAAAGAACTAAACAGGAACAAGATGTAAGGAAAAATCAAAATAATAATAGGGAAATTAAGTCTTTTTAAAACACTGGAAGAATAGAATCAGTGATATGGAGGGAAAACTTATCATGAGGAAGGAAAAGACAAGATGATGAGAGAAAGATAATAGGTGTGAAAGATGGAGAATAGTGATCAATAAATGATTTTAAGCACTGTATAGAATGACATTAAAATGATAGTGTTATAGGTAGAATTGTGTCCCCTTAAAATTCATGTGTTGAGATCCTAACTCCTAGAACCTGACGGTGACTAAATTTGGAGCTAGGGTCTTTCAAGAGGTATTTTAAATTAAAATGAGGTTATTAGCATGGGTCCTAATTCAACATAACTGGTGTCCTTATAAGAAAAGGAAGTTTGGACACACACTTCTGAAGAGGGAAGACCATGTGAAGACACAGTGATAAGACAACCATCTACAAACCTAGGAGAGAGGCCTCAGGAGAAACCTACTCTGCCAACATCTTGTTCTTGGATTCCTCACCTCTGAAATGGTGAGAAAACAGATTTCTCTTGTTGAAGCTGCCCAGTCTGTGGTGCTTCGTGATGACAGCCCTAGGAAACTAATACATAGAGAAATAGTGGCAGTACTTACAGTGTAAAGAAAGAGACCTACTTAAACAGAAAAAAAGATCTTGGTCTGCAATTCAAAATGATTCAAGGTAAAATTAGTGAAAAACTGACTCTTAGAATCAGAAAGCTTTTAATGAATTTAACAAAGAAATACTATAAGCACCAGGGAGAAAAATTATGTTCCCTGCTCTGGCAGAGGTAGTTATATGCCCACCCGACCCATTCTCACCTTTATTTTTTTTAAAGTTATTCATTTACTTTTTATTTGTTTTTGGCTGTGCTGTCTTTGTCGCTATGCGCGGGCTTTCTCTGGTTGCGGAGAGCGGGGGCTACTTTTTGTTGCAGTGGGTGGGCTTCTCATTGCATTGGCCTCTCGTTGCAAGGCACAGGCTCTAGGTACGCAGGCTTCAGGAGTCGTGGCGTGAGGTCTCACTTGCTCTGTGTGGCATGTGGAATCTTCCCGGACCAGGGATCGAACCACAGCTTTGGCAGGTGGATACCATCCACTGTACCAACAGGGGAGTCCCCTTTCCTTCCTCTTCTAATGACAACTCTTGTTTTGTTCATGGCGGCCATATATCCAACTAAAAGGCTACATTTTCCATCCTGCTGCCATCCTTCTGTGTACCTAAAGGTGATTAGTGAGACTTCTACTTGCAAGATGTTGAATCAGGACTCATAGGAACATTCTTCAGAGGTGCCAGGAAAACTGGTATGCTCACTGTTTACCCTTTACCTGCCTTCCTTTACTTCCTGTCAGGGACTTGGATTGGGGCTGTCGTCTTGGACACTAGGTGACCTTGAGAATGGAAATCAGATCTTAAACTCTTTAATGACATGGAGCCTCTCTTATACCTCTGAGTGGCATTTTTGTATCTTTATATGAGAAGGAGGAAATCCTTTTGATTTACTCAGGTCACGGCTGTTTGGGTCTTCTGTTTATATGTAGTTGAAACAAGTCCTGATAAACAGAAAGGAGCAACAGTGAGACTCACCAGGATTTGCTTTAACACAAAATACTGGAAGACAGCAGAGCAAAGTCTACAAGGAATGAAAAAGGGTTGGGACCAAAAATCTCTATATCCAGCCAAGTGTACAGAGACAGCACAGCAACATTCTCAGATATAAATTAACACAAAATACAAACCTGGAATTCTTTTCCTGAGAAAAATGCTCAAAGATGAACTATGAGATAGGAGCCAAAATCAGGAGCTTGAGAACAATGAAGTTTGAAACTGCTACCAGGACTGACTACACAGCATTAAATATGTAAATTTGCATATGAACAACTGAGATAGTTTTTGTAATAGTTTGAAATATTTTGATCAGAAATATAAGCTGAAAACTTTTTGAAAAAGAAGATCTCTGTGATTAAAGAATACTCTGTAAGAGTAAACAGAATTTATATCCCTATAGTAAGTTAGTAGATACTGGGAAATATGGATAAGCTGGAGATGGAAAGGAATGCTGAATTCTTAAGATGAATCAGAAGGATTTTAATAATTATAGAGAAAATATATTCTTTTAATTTTGTGTTTATTAACCTAGATATATATAAAGATTTTTATATTTAAAAGTCAGAGAAGACAGAAGCAAATAAAACATATTCTTTATTATAGAGAATGATGTTTTAGCCAATATTCTTGACTGCAAATAGCAGAGTCAGTCCTGGTAATAAACAAGGAAAGAAATTTAGTGGAAAGTTATCAAATAGGTCACAGCATCTAAGGAAAGTGAGTCTCTATAGACAGGCTCTAAAACCCTGGAGGGACCAAGGGAGATGAAGCAGCTGGGTGTACATCACAAGCAAGCCACAGGAAGGGTCTGGTCGGGTTGTGACATCATGCCCGCAATTGCTGAATTTTTAAGGTGAATGATCTCTAAATGTCACTTCTCTCTTTATTTTCTCAAGATTCAGAGTGTTGTCTGGAAGCTTCCAGTTCTTGGAGCCTGAGACATGTCAACTTGTATAGCGGGAAGAAGTGCCCTCTTTTTCCTGCTTTGACCCAGATCATGGAGACTCTTTCCAAATACAAAGACTGTTACAGTTGTTGGTATCCAAAAGCAAACACCCAGCAGCAGATTTGTACTGTAGGAGAAAATGAAAGAAGTCACACAAAGGCACAGAGAACCTAGGGCTTAATGTTCTATACAGGGTGATCCAGACGCTGTTGAAAAAGCACGTGTACATGATTGTGTGTGTGTGTGTGTGTGTGTATGTATGTGTGTGTAGGGATGGAAAGACTCCTTTCTGTTAACTGTTTTGAAAGGCATGCATGCTCAGTCGGTCAGTCATGTCTGACTCTTT